CTGAATTTCTGAATTTCTGAATTTCTGAATTTCTGAATTTCTGAATTTCTGAATTTCTGAATTTCTGAATTTCTGAATTTCTGAATTTCTGAATTTCTGAATTTCTGAATTTCTGAATTTCTGAATTTCTGAATTTCTGAATTTCTGAATTTCTGAATTTCTGAATTTCTGAATTTCTGAATTTCTGAATTTCTGATTTTCTGAATTTCTGATTTTCTGAATTTCTTAATTTCTTAATTTCTGAATTTCTGAATTTCTGAATTTCTGAATTTCTGAACCTCTGAATTTCTGAATTTCTGAATTTTTGAATTTCTGAATTTCTGAATTTCTGAATTTCTGAATTTCTGAATTTCTGAATTTCTGAATTTCTGAATTTCTGAATTTCTGAATTTCTGAATTTCTGAATTTCTGAATTTCTGAATTTCTGAATTTCTGAATTTCTGAATTTCTGAATTTCTGAATTTCTGAATTTCTGAATTTCTGAATTTCTGAATTTCTGAATTTCTGAATTTCTGAATTTCTGAATTTCTGAATTTCTGAATTTTCAAATATTCGAAAAGTTTTTGAAATTTTAATTTTAAAATTTTCAGCTCGCTCTTCCCGTTCCCGATAATTTCGAAAATGGTATAGATAAACAATTGAAGTTTTCTGAAAGTGAAAAACCGGAAAATCAGAATTATTTCATTTTCGACAATTCCGAAATCTGGAAAAATTATTCAACTGATATAGAAGCTTATTTTTAATCAATAAATGAATTTTTAAAGCATATTTTTATTGTAATTTGAAAAATAAATTGACAATTTAAAGAAGTGAAAATTCGATAATATTTCAAAAAATAAATTTTTTGGGTCTTAAAATTTTTTTCAAAAAAAAGCTCATATTGGAATGAAGGAATTTTTTTTTTTGGGAATATAAAAATAAAGCTATTTGCCTGGAAAATTAGACAAATTTCGGGGAAAAATGAATCGAAAAATTGAAAGAAGATCATTGAAGAATCTCAGAAAAACAATATTGCAAAGATTTTTTTTTGGAGAATTTTAAATTTTTCAGTGAAAAATTTAAAATTTGAAGTTATAGGAAAATTTAATTTGGTGTAGATTCGATGAATTTCAGCTCTTCGGCATTGCGGACCAAATTCTTTTTGGCCGGAGATTCGAACGAGCCATCCAAGTTGAGTCCTTTGCGAACGCGCTAGAAGTTTGAAATTTGAAATTTTCAAATTTTCAAAAAAAATTCAAACTCCCGCCAAACGCCTACCTCCTTGAAAGTAAGATGCTTATTGGTGAAGAGCAAGTAGTAGACAGCATATCCAGGAATGACAACCATGGAACACGACGAAAGGAACCATCCGAATGCATTAGCCCAGTCGGGGAAGTCTCGACGGTCCGGGTATTGGACAGGGTGGTAGTAGACGATACAGAATACGAAAAGGACCTGAAATTAGACTTCAAAAATTTCAGAACTCCTCGATTTCAGATATACCAAGCTCGTCGCGGGGGCACAGAACTTCCAAATGTATTCAATGAAGACTGGCAAGTTGATTCCGACCATTTCCTTTAGAGCATGTCTAATATTGTGAGCTCCAAATCCGTAAGCCAATCCGACGACTTCAAAGAAGACGACAAACAAGAGAGCGTATCCAGATGCACCGTATGCGTCGACTAGTGTGAGCCAGTGAGAGCCAGACTGGAAAATTTGGATTTAGAGGGGTCAAGAAACCTGGATTCTAAGTTTTTACATTCTGAGATTCTATAATTTTGAGATTCTGAAATTCTGAAGTTCTAAGATTCCAAGATTTCCGAGTTTCTGAATTTCTGTGATTCTCAATTTTTAAAAAATTAAAACTTTAAAGCAGTTTTTAGGGTTTTTAGGATTTTTTAGAATTCGAAGATTTTCCGTGTTTTAAAAAAAAATTTGGTTTTTGGAATTTTTGGAATTTTGAGATTATTTGAGTTTATTCGAATTCTGAAGTTCAAAATTCCAAAAGTTTCTAGCTCAAAATTCACAAATTCTAGAACCCTAGATTCTTAAATACCTGAATTACTAGAATCCTGGATTTTTAATCTTAAATTATTAAAATCCCAGATCCTCAAAATCCGAGATTCTTAAAATTTTAATTTCTGAAAATCCGAAATTTCTAGTATCCTGGATTTCTAGGAACCCAGTTTCTTAGAAGATTTCCTAGATTTTCAGATTCCCATTTCTCTAGATTCCTAGAATTCTAGATTTCTAGAATGCTGGATTTTCAGAATCCTAGATTCCTAGAATCCCAGATTCCATATTCTTCCCAACCTATAACTCACATAAGAAACCATTGGAATTCCAAGAATGAAGAAGAACAAGCAGAATATTCCAAGTGACAGCTTCTTATGTTTTCTCAGAATCGGGAAAGCGTCTTCCAGTGCCGTAAACAGTCCCTCAACCATACAAACTTGAGAATCCAATCCCAAAATTGTGATCATCAGGAAGAATAAAACGGCAAACACTTGTTTCATGGGGAGGTTTGATGCCACTTCTGGATAAGCCAAGAATGCCAATCCGACTCCCGGTTTCACAATTTCCGAAATGTCTTTTTGTGCAATATGAGACATGTATCCCAGAATGGAGAAGACTGCAAATCCAGCGGTGATTGAGGTGCAACCATTGATGAAACACATGGTGATGGCGTCCCTGAAAAAATTGGATTATGGTTGAAAATGACAATTAAATTTGGAATTTTTCAATATGAACTCGAATAGCACTATGTATTTGAACCATACGTGTCCATTGCATCGACTCGGCACGGCACTTACCGTGCGCTATATGACAATACCACTGAAACCATCAACTTTGCGCCCATGTATCTCATTTTCGGCTAAGAACGCGGAATTTCATGGTTTTCAGTTTTGAATCACTGTATTTGCCATTATATCATTGTTTGGAAGAAAATTTTCAAAAAAACATTTTTTTCGAAAAAAAACGTTTTTGTTTTGAAAACTTTTTTTAAGTTAAAAATCAATAAAAACACTGATAGTAGTGAAAAACCTTATCAAATTAACAAAAAAACTAGTATATAATCCATTTTTTGTCTTGTTTTTAGTACACTTTTTAAAAAAAAAATTCAAAAAAATTGAATTTTCGAAAAACTCAAAAATTCAAAAGATAAACAAAAAAAAAGAAAGAGAAATAGAGAAAACGACCAAAAATTGACTGTTTATAAAGGTGAGAGAAAAATAAACAAACAAATATTTTTCGAAAAATTTTTTTTTGAATTTTCGGAATTTTTTAATTTTCGAATTTTCGACTTTTGAAATTTTGAATTTTTTCGATTTCTTGAAATTTCTGAATTTTACATTTTTTGAATTTTCGGAATTTTCGAAAATTTGAATTTCAAAATTTCTGAATTTTCAAACTTTCGAATTTTTTGAATTTTTGAAATTTTCGAATTTTTGAAATTCTGAATTTTAGAATTTTCGAAATTTTTAATATAAAAGAAGAGGGAAATGAAAGGAAGAATCAGTTCTCACCTTCTCTGGGCTCCAGAGAAGGTGACCCGGGGGATTCTGGTGACCTGCATCCTGGTGACCTGGATCCGGTGACCTGGATCCGGGTGACCCGGATCCGGGAGATCCTGACCGGGTGACCTGGGTCCGGGTGACCTGGGTCCGAGTGTCGAACGTTTTAAGGCAAGCCAAAAGATTTTAACCGCCAACAGGCGACAAAAGTCGACTGGTTTTGTATGAAAATGTCCCAAAATTTTCGAAAACCTCCCAACTCACTTAAAACAGTTATGATCAAACTTATTGTGTGAGCCAAGAGCGATCAATGCACCAAAACCGACACCATACGAATAGAAGACTTGAGTTCCTGCGTCTTTCCAAACTGCTGTGTCCAAAAGTCGAGTGGTATTCGGTTTCAGATAGAAATAGATTCCATCAGCGGCACCTTCCAAAGTGAGTCCACGGATTAGGAGAATGAAAATCAGAACATATGGGAACAAGGCGCAGAAGTAGACGAACTGCAAAAAGATAGGAATTTAAAAATTTCTGAGTAAACCAAGGCAGTACAATGTTAAAATCCAGTGTGTTCCAAACATTTTGCAACAAAAATCACTTTTCTAGCTCTACTAGAAGCCAAGATATGGCTATTTGAAGTTTAGGAGGCTAGAGACGCAGACAACGAGACACTCTAGCTGTCTGCGTCTCGCTTTTAGTCGAAACGTGAATGCGAGAGACGCAGACAACTAAACAGTCTAACATGCTGCGCCTCTCGCATGCTAGTGGGTGTGTGTAAAACGTAGGGAAGAGA